ATCTTTTGTTTATATTTTCCTAAAATACCTTTTTCTTTTTTAGAATTGTATTTGAATACTTTTTTATAAAATGAACTTTAATTAAGGATATTTTAGAAAAGTACATTATTTAAAATTTTGATCAAAAAATATATAAATAGAAAGATAGACAATCTCTTTGGGATGAAGGAGTATCATTATTATTATTATTTTAATTTCTTTTTTACAAAGTCCAACTTATATATAATTTTCAATTACATAATTTTTAAGAGTAAATAGTAAATTAGTCCCTGTAGTTTCATTCACAAATTAATTAGTTTCTCTTGTTTTAAAAAACAATTATTTAGTTTTTGTATTTTCGATTTTCTTTTAACTTAGTCCTTTTCGCTCTTTTTCAATTTATTTTAATTTTTTATTTTACGAAATATAAAAAATTAAAAAAAATAAAAAAGAAAAAGGAAGGATTGATGAGAAAATATGATATTTTATGAAATAAAATAATATGAAATTAAGCATGGTTAACATTAGTTAAGGGACTAAATAATTGATTTTTATAAACAAGAGGAACTAATTAATTCATTTTTTCAAAAATAAAAGTATTAATTTATAATTTACTTTAATTTTTAACTAGTAAAAAAAAAAAAGGCTACATCTATGATGTTTGAATGCACAAATGGCTCAATAGGTTTTTATATAATAAGTCGAGTCTCTAATTTGTCTCTATATTTCTAATTAGATCTATTATGTCTATAAATAGTGTTGAATTATTCAAATAGTCCTTTTGATTACTTTTTTCGATCAAAAGCTCATGTGTAGGTCATATGATCAAATTTTATTTTTAAATTTTTTTTAACTCAAATGCAAAACAAAACAAAATAAAAAAAGAAAGAGAGAGAGAGAGAGAGAGAGAGAGAGAGAGAGAGGTAAGTTTCCAATATGTTTTTACATTTCTATTGTGTCTATAATATCCTTTTATAATATCTAATTTTCCAATATGTGTTTCGGTCAAGTTTTTCTATTTACATTGATAAAATCATATTTTTCATTCTAAAATTTCCCTTGAGCTATACAAGCATACAATTTTATTTTGTTAAAAAAAAAATCCTTATTTTTTTAGAACTTTAATAGTTTAGTAATTTAGATTATTTCCTCAAATATTTTGGGCATTTTTGATAAATTTTTCTATTATATCCTTATATAGGCTCAAGGGTATTTTCAAAATAAAAAATATAATTATGTCAATTTGAATCGAAATATAATTTGTTTTCTTGAAAAATTAAAATTATATGCTTGTATAGTTATAATGACATAATTATGTCTTTCGATCACGTTTTTACATATAAATTGACAAAATTATATTTTTCATTCTAAAATTACAAACATATAATTTTAATTTAGAAAATAAAAATTATATATTTTTTTAATTTTAATGGTTTAGTAGTTTTAAAATTTATTATTTCTTGGAATATTTTGCAAACTTTTTTTAATTATATCCTTATATAACACAAAGTCAATTTTAAAATGTAAAATATAATTTTATCAATTTAGATGATAAAATTTAATTGAAGCATATATTGAAAAATTTGATATCATACAAAGATATAATAAATACAATTAAAAATATAAAGACATATTAGAAATTTATTTTTTTCTTTTTTCTACATTCCAATCACGAGCTTTCGAGAATAAATTTTGATCATGTGACCTATACGTAAGCTAATGATTGAAAAAAATAGGTAAAAGAACTAATTACATATTATTCAAGAATATAATAAATTTAATTAAAAACCTAAAAAAAAAAAAAGGAGAGTCAACCTATTATATGAAGAAATATCAAAATCATTTATCCTTAGAATGAGTTGTTTGTTAATTAAAAAGGTGCGTGAAAAGGGGCAGTGATGAAGGCAAGAGGCGAGTCCAGAATGATGTCTGTGGTTGCTTTGTTGTTGCATATTTTGGTGGGGTGGTTTGGTTAATTGTTACTTGATTTTACGGGTTTAGTTGGGAAATATTGATGCCGTTTGTTTTTTTGCTTCATCAATAGGCAATTATGCAGGTTCCATAAATCCGGCCGCATCATCTACATCTTTCTAACCAATCATATAATGCTAAATCTTAAAGACAGATTTTTCTCGAATTTATTTTCTAACACGCTTCAAACATTGAATTTATAGAACTCATTAATGGAACCCTCATTTATAATAATGCCCTCGTGGAGTCCTGGTGATCACAAAAAAAAAAAAAAAATGCTGCAAGGATGAAGTCAACCTTCGTAATACTACCATAAAACTGATTTTTAGTGGCATTTTCTTAAAGAATTATATGTACTAAAAATTGTTGTTTTTAACTATATTTTATTATGGCAATTTACAATCAACACTTGTCAGGAAGATAAAATTTCTTGAGGCACTTGAAAATTTTATTCTCTCAACATTTGTGTTTTTGAGGTTTTTAGTATTTTATATAATGCTTTCTTATGAATTTGATGATGAGAAGTAATTCCCTTCATGACGCTAAGCCAATGAAAATTTTTGTGAGGAGTTTATACACTTTTAATTAGGATCTCTATATTATTAGTCAAACTATCAAGAGTTTTTCAATAAATTATTCAATCTAAATAATCTCCAGATAAAATAAAAGATAAAATTAAATCTTTCTATTAAATAGAGTTAGGTTAAAAATGATCTTATAATTGAGACATTTTTTTTATCATATTGCTCTTTTCAGAAAGTTAAAGCATGATCTTGCGGTGATCATATATATACTCTTCTTAATATATATATATATATATATATATATATATATATATATATATATTGGCGATTTAATAAATCAAATAGTTATGTATTTAGTTAATTTTTTTAATAAAATAAAATTTAAATTTTAATAATTTTAAATTTTTTAATGATTATGTAATAAAACCAAATTATTTTTATTGTATAGCTCAAAAGGATCCATAAGTTTTCGATAAATTTAAAATAAAAAAAAAGAATCTTTCATATGAAAAAAACAAATGATGCCCTAATAAAATATGAAAACAAGAATCCCACGGTTCCCAATAGAAGAAAAAAATGAATTTCATGGTTCTGTTTTGTGAACCCTCGGCTCCCACGCTTTCGAGGTCTTGTATTCGTGGTCTTTGTTTGTCCACGTCTCCTTTTTTTTTTTTGGGCCTCAGGTACATGCCTCCGTATTCATTCACCAATGATCGAAAGCTTATGGATTAATTAGTTTTTTAATTAGCATGGATCATGATAATTTAACATTATGTTATTTAAAAAAAAACATCTTCTTTTTCATCAATATTTTCATAGTTTTTATTCATAATTTTTTTATTTTCTTTAAAAAAAATGGAAGAGAACATGAAAAGGATGAAAATTATTAGTTATAAATGGATTAAAAATAGGGATTAAATATATAGTTTTTAAAACAAGAAGAACTAGTTAGTTTCGATAAATTACAATGACTAAGATATAATTAGCTCGTACTTTAATCCCCTCCCTAATCCCAAAAGGATTATTAAAATCATGCACCAACGTCATAAACATTTTGGGACAACAATCATGCCTTGGGTAGCGAAGTATTGCCGATATAAATGCTACCCACAGGGTCGAATCCCACCCTGGCTGCTGGCTCCCCCAAGTTAAAATATTAAAATCTATGTCATAACGCTATGTCAACAAGAATGGCAAGTAAGCTATAAACCATAAATATCACATTTGTGACTTGTTATGTTAGATAGCTTTTTAAATGTATGCATGTTGTACATAGCATTTATTGTGCGATTGACTGAATATGAATCGTTTTCATTTTTTGAGAAATTATTAGGCATCATACATGAATTCTGTTTTTATGTGATTGGAGGAGTATCATTCCGGAAATAAATAAGTCCTCAGGAAAATGCTAAAAGGCATTTGGATGTATTTAAACAATTTAAAGAGTTGTGAGTACTTATATTAGCAACTCAGCACTTTTTCCTCATATTTCCCATTTTAACAGGACTTATTCCATGACGTGACGGGTTAAATTTTGGATCCTAAAATACAAATTCCGTTGCCGGGATTTGAACCCGGGTCTCTCGGGTGAGAGCCGAGTATCCTAACCAACTAGACTACAACGGAATCCTGATCTTAATTTCCATATACTTTTATTAATATAATTATCTACATCTTACCACCACCAATAAACATTTTCCGCTTTACGTTGATGTTGTTGCTTCTCTCAGAGGAAAAAAAAAACCTTTTTCAGTTAGCTGTGAAAAAATAGAAAACATGGCACTTAGTGTTTTAAATTACTTTATAACCTTTTTTTTTTTCCATTCGTCTACATAGCGTTATGATATCAAAACAGGAAAATTGTTACAGTCTGCAATTGCAATAGATCAGAGTTTAGAATTTTGCCAACAAACTACAGAATAAGCTTCCATGTGTGTCTAGACAGAACTCTCAAATCTCAACTTATATACTCAGATTATAAGGTGGACTGGAATCTGATTAGTTAAAGGGAACAGGGGTCTGGCTGGGAAGATTCATAACAAAGCTAATCTCCATCTCCATCATTGTCTACACATTATCACTGTATTTCATAAATGTATGTCTATACAATAACTACTAGTACAGATTAACCACAATTTCTTGCTTATTACTCAAACAGGATCATTTTTCCGACAAAACAAGACTAGTGTAGCAGTGTTTGTCTGCAAGCAACGAGTGTTAATCCATTACTACACATCAACCACAAATGTACTCTGTCGCCAAGATTATCTACTTGCATCAAGATACTCCTTGTTTACTCTCTCAGGCTGGGGTGATGATGTTCCTTTTTCCACGTATGCTTAGAACAAAGATATAGTAGGGAGACATCCCAAATGCATTCATAAATAAATAAATTCCCAAATACATATCACATGGCATGTAATAAGAAAAACAAAACATAAACAACAGGACGTTGTTACATTCATGGTCTTCTTTTCTACAGGCAGGAACAATACCGACGATAGCTGCTTCAGGCAGGAACAAGACCTACAATAGCTGCTTCCTAAGTGCCGGACGATCTCTTGATATGAGGAGAGCACAAGATGATAAGTAATCAAAAGAAGGGGAATATAAGTCATCTGGCCCAATAACATCCTTAACCTTTTGAGTACAGTCAGCATCGCCAGTGAAAGGCTGCAGTGCGTCATCCTTCAAGGCATCAAATGCAAATAGCCCCAGCCCACAAACACCCATCACAAGGTTTGAGTTTCCCCAAACCTGTGTTATGGCTGAGAAATGTGAGTGAGCATTGGATTCTGGCAGAGAGTAAGCGTTGACTAGCCTTTGCTTGCGCAGTGAGAAATGTTGCACCTGTGAACAAGGATGTTTTTTCCCTGCAAACCTCATGTTGGCACAGCCAATGTAGATCGAATCTCCACGAGTGAAAACTGATTGCACACTAACACCTAATTTCGGTATCTTAAGACCTATACCAGATGGATTGCGAAAGTCTAAAACATTGATAGAATCAGGGGTGCAAAACACACCATCATTTCCTTCAGCTTCTGCAGATGTTGCTCTGCATTAAAAAGCCAACATGAGGACTGGTAAGAGAGTAGCTTCTTTTTATATTTACTAAATAAGCAGAACAAGCATATTATTACATGTTTGGTAGTGCAACGTATTTATAATGATACAATTGAAGAATAGTAAATTAAACAGTTTAAGGAGATATGAAAGGAATCATTAAAAGAGAAATAAGATCAGTGGCAGACAAATCATATAATCAGGCGTGCATAACATGCCATTATTTCCTTCAGCTACGATAAAAGTGATCCCCATTTCATACATTATCAAATACTGCAAAATGATAGAAAACTTTTCTAGAGCCTCTTCACACTTTTTAATTAATTTCAACAGTTACTGACCTATTCAAACAACCCACTGCTAGTAGTAATTCCATGTGTGAGAAAGAGAAGTACTGGAAAAAAATGATGAGAAGACAAGCAATGTGAAATAGAAATGTTTTCAGAATCAGGGGTTAAAATACACTAAGGAATGCCATAAAACAATAAAACCGTTATGATGTCTGGAGAAAGACAAACATGGGATTAAGGAAAAGTTCAGAGAAATCAAGTTGCTCATTAGGTCATGTGCAAGATGGATCTTCATGCGTCTGCTACAAAGAGTAACTGCATTCAAGCACCAATAATGAAAAGAGCAAAAGGTAAACCAAAAACAACATGAGGAACATGAGGTGAATTATAAGAAAGGATTACTCTAATCCAAAGTATCTCTTAGTCATCTCAGAAAGCAATATGGTTCTGGACATTTCAGTTTTTTTTTTATTTAAAAAAAAAAAAAGAAAAAAAAACAGTTCATCTAAACATCACCAATTTAAGCACCACTTGATTTGAGAATTGACGGTACAGATTATGCGATCACCTTCTTCAGCTTTAGGAATGAACACAACAATTCTTAAATCATGGCTTAAGACTCTTCCTTGTCGGATGTTTTTGCATGATCAGTATGCATGTTTTGTGATATGAGTAGTTACAGAGTTACAGAGAGAGAGAGAGAGAGAGAGAGAGAGAGACTGATGACAAAGACCAGTAAATAGAAATGATTTTAAAGTTATCAGAGGTTTCACCTTTGCCGAACCCCACCACCTAGTTCAGCATCAGTGTTGATCACATGAAGAGCTGAGATTTTTCGACCACCCAAAGAAACAGATAACAATGATTGGGGATTAAGAGAGTTCACATCCCACACAGAAATTGTTTCTGTCTCAGCCACAACCACTTTTCCTCTGTTTCTCCACTGCAAAGGGCTTGAATAATCCATTGCAAGCACAGGTTTCTGCACCTCCCATATCATTATTTGTTCTCCATCTCGAATGTCATGTATTTTGACTACCTTTTGAGAGCTGGCAGTAGAGATCATAAGAGGTCCACATGGTTTATACCACCATTGTCGAGTTTCTGGTGACAATATGCTAGACAAAGCATCTCTCCTAGATGCAGTATTATTGGGTAAGGGACCAAGTACTGTTCTTGAGGCAGTTGTTCCTCCTTCCTCAATGTGAAAAGCTCGCACATCTTTGGCATAGAAATCCCATGAACAAAAGCCTGAATCAAGAGTATTCCCAGCAGATGCAGCCACAACATATCTGCCTGAGCAGCCATCAGCACCAGGTGCACGAACCATCCAGCAATCTCTCCATATATTAGGTGAGACTCCTGGTGGGGGCTTGTATACAGCCTTCTCCTGAAACAATTATGAATCATCAATGGACAAACAAATCTTAAAGAAAATGCTACTGGCTTGATTATGTCATTGTATGCATCAATCTGCTCGTGAATCTTTATGTTACTTTGTTCACAAAAACATGCTTGGATTTAGAGTGACAGAGATATTAAATGAAATAAGTAGTAATCAGTAGATTCTACAAGCTCAATAAATTGTCAAAAGCAGATCTATATTATACAAAAAGAAAATCAGAAACAAACAGATTAAATTCTTTACGGCAAGGAAAGGAAACATGCACAAGACATTCAAGATAGTTCAAAACTTGTATTTACATTATTTAGAAGTTTTTCATTGAAAACTCATAAAATAAACAAGAAGCATGTAAGGGAAAACTTTTGGATGCTGATCAGTAAAAGCTCAAAGCAAAATGGAAGTTCAATGCCAAGCAGAAATAAATAGTTCTAGTATATACCTCACAATTAGCAATATCATAAAATGAGCAGGACCCATCATCATGAGTAAGAAGAACTGACTCTCCCTCTGATACAAACCATCCTCCTGTTGAACTTTTGGTGCCTATTTCATTCACCTGATAAATGCAAGTATCTTCAGTTTCCTCGCCAATTATGATTGTATTTCTATTTTCCTGATCATCAAACTCATCAAATGTTTCGTCAGTTGTAAGAACAATGCCCTCCTCACACATGAGATTGAACATGTTGGAAGAGTCTTGCTTTCCTGAAGCTGAACCATCCCCCATTTCTTGAACCTCAAAAGACTCAATACCCACCTTTGCATCTCTCACGATTACTTTTTTATCCTCTTTACTAAGGGAATCCAAAAACTCGAGAGCTATTGGATTCTCTTCGATAGGGCTTGACAACTTCTCTTCCACCTTTAACTCACAGCCAGACTCGTCAGCATTAGATAGATCATGACTTTGACAACTTGCCATTGTTGCCTTAAGTGATGTTCGGTTTCTAAGCAACTTATGATGAGGAAAGAGTCTTTCTTCAAGTTCCTCAGTATTCAGTCCTTTAACTGAACTCTTCGCATCCTCAACTTTCTCACCTTCACTTTTCTCCACAATCACAATCGTTCCACTATCATTCCCACCACTTTTTGATGAATCATTACCTGCAACATTTCCCATTGCCTTCTCAATCCCTGATATTTTATCTTGAATATCCGATAGTATCACCTTGGATGCATCGGGGTTATTCATATCCAATATCTCCTTTGTCTTTTTAATATCCGATGCAATCCTCTTCACTTTCCCTTCTAAAAAAGCCAGCTTCTCATGAAGCTTGCTCGGATATTTAACATCAACCTTGCTTCCTTTTCCTTCTTCACTCAACCCCTTCTCTTTCAAGTTCTCCAAAATCTTACCTTTACTGGAGGATTTCTCACTAGACTCTTTAAAGCTATCAAATTTAAACTCAGACCCAGATTTCTCTGCATATAGCTTATCAAATTTACCACCATTTGCAACTTTTGAATCTAAATTTGAATCAAACTCAGTTGATTTTCTTAAATTAACTTCTTTATTACTGTTATCTTTCAAAAACTTAATCCTACATGACTGCGTTTTGCTATCTAATATTTTCAAATCATTTCCTTCAGAAAGTCCATTCCTTTTCTTCAATTCCCCACTAGATCCACCATTTTCTTTCAAACCCCTAATTCCATTCTTCTTCCCTGCAGTCGACACCACACGATTCTCACTCTCCCCTTTAGAAACCCTAGAATCCCTAAAAACCCTAATAAATTCAGATGGGCTCGGGCTCCTACCTCTTGGGGCCGATGACGTAGACCACCGCATGCGTCCTTCGCTGCCATCTCCTACAGCAGCCTTGTCAACACGTGGCACTGGGCGGATTGTAGGTTTCTGGGCCAGAGACTTGGGCCTGGTGGGGTTCTCTTTGCCGGAGAGTGACTTTTGTATGGCGGAATTAGGGTTTTTATCGGAGATTGAGATTGGGGTTAGGGCTTTGGTAGGTTTTTGAGTTGCTGTGGCTGCGGCGACGCCATTCCGGTCTTTGAACCGACGAGTCGAGGAGGCTGACATGGATTAGATAGATTTGATAGAAAAATTACAGGTGTTTAGGGTTATTAAAATAAATTAAGTGTGTGACAGAGAGAGAAGATTTTATGAGATAGAAATGAGAGAGAAGGAATGGGTCTATATTCGTCGTATAATCTGGACTTCTTTTGAATGGAGAGGTTGCTTGTGAGCGGGAAATGAGTCTGATTTTGAGTTTTCAAAATAAAAAATTATTGGAGGGTTGTTTTCTTTATTTTATTTTATTTTATTTATAGTGCTTCTTATGTTTTTCACAATTTTTTAAGGTAGTTCTAGCCACTAGCGCTGGGTGCTTGGCTTGCTGTGTAATTTTAACACTTCAAACTTTGGAGTAAAGGGTGTTCACTATTCAATTTTCATCGAATAATCAAATCGAATCGTACCGAAATATCAATTTTGGTATAGTTTTTTTTTAGAAACTAAAAAAAAAAATCGAACCGAAATATAGTCGGTTTTCGATTTCGATTTCGGTTTTTTTTTAATTCGGTTAAAACCGAATAACCGAAATTATTAAATTTTTTTTTAAATTCATCGATGAACGACGTCGTTCATTTCAATCCTCACCTCACCCTCATGCAAACCTAAGCTAATTGGAGTTAAATCAATTAGCCCATAACCAATTCTTGTTGCATTGATTACATGAGCCAACTGGCCCAACGCCAAATGACCACAACCAATTCTTGTTTATAATTGCCCAATGAGGTACATAATTTCTTTCTTGATTCAATTTATAGTTTAAAAGAAAAAAAGATGTGAGATAGTGTTTTTTTTCTATGTGAAAGAAAACTAGTTAATTTATGGACCACGATAATAATTAGTATGTCTCTTTTTAGTAAATACATATAATTTAAAATTACGCTAAAGAAAATTGAGTGTTTAAAGTTTTAATGTTCTTCATTGTTTAAAAACAACATTGCCATTTAATTAGCAAAGGTTAGCTTATGGTCGTAGTGTTTAACAAGTTACTCAAAATTATTAGTTCTAATTACGTCCAAGTTAATTAAAAGTGTCTTTCATAAAAACAAATAAGTCGGTTATATTTGAGCTTCAAAGCATGCTCTGTTTCTTTTTAGAAGGAATTGTTAAAATGCCTTAATTATAATACATATTTGACGGTATCATCTATCGATATCGATAGACAATAACATATATTATATATTATTAGACTTTATATGATAATGATGACATCTCGTATTATATATATATATATATATATATATTGATATTATATTAGTAATGCCTATTGAGGAGTAGTAAAATAGACATAGTAAATAGACAGAGTTCAATGAGATTGAAAAACGTATACATATAGGAACATAGCCTAAAAATTGCAATGCAAATACTAAATTTATTTTTTTCGAAAGTGCATGATCATTTTAAAAATAAAAAATATAGATAATTACGAGTGAAAATCGAATTACCGAATAAAAAAACGATATATTTCAAAACCGAACCGAAAAACGAATAATTATTCGGTTCGATTTTGGTTATTTTTTAGGCAATTCGGTTAACCGAAAACCGATCAAAAAGTTCAAAACCGAACCGAATTACCGAACGAACACCCCTATTTGGAGTTGTATAAAAAAAAAACAAAAAAAAATTAGTTATTTAGTTGTCTAACAATCTTTTATTGCTTTTCATATTAGAGTCCTTTGCTTTTAATTTTATCTATTTGAGTTATTAATATTTTTTGTATTGTGTTGTTTCAATGTTTTCATTAATTCAATCCATTAAGTATTTACATGATTGTTATTATGTGATAAGTGCAAAAAAAAAAAAGAGTCCCAATGAAAAATATTGTGACAGAAAAAACTATATATTTAATGCATAATTTTTTATTATTTTTCTATTTGAGTGTTTCGTCATAAATTTTACTTATTTGAGATACTAATTTTTTTTGTTTTTTAATTTAAGTGCTGATTGTTAATGTAAAACATTAGATGTTGATATGTATGTTGTGTCATAACTTGTGATAATATATATATATATATATATATATTGCAAAAAATTAGGAAAATAAAAAAAAATTGAAATTCTATACTCGAACCTCAAACACTTACTTGAAGATTAAATATTAAATTCATATCGCTATCAAAGTCACACTTAACATCATAAACCATTGTTGTTAATCATTATCAACTACGAAGGCAATAAAAACCTATCATCAAATATTTGTAGCGGTGGTTTCATAGTGGTTAGAAGTAGTAGATTTTAACGTTAATTGTTAGTTGGGTTTTACTCATATTGAGATCCCATATAATTTGAAATTTTTTTATTGAAATCCTAAATTTTTTTGTCAAATTTAAGAGTTTTACTCTTAAGTTGTTGTTATTTTAGACCCTAACATGCCACGTAAGCACACGTGATAAGGTCTATCCAATGATAGATTGACACATGTCATGGTAGGCCCAAATTGGGTTCGAACGAAAATTAAAAATTTTTGATGAATTTTTAATAACTTAACAAATAATAAACCTAAAAATAGGTTATGAAAATACCAATCTACTCTTACCCTTAAACCTAAAAATTTCTCAAAATCTCCCCTCTCTCCCCATTCGTTTCAGACTTTTCTTCTCTCTTTCCTCCACCTCCGATTGCAATCAACAATTAACCTCATTTCCCCAATTTCACGTAACCCAAACCCTAATCCTCATTCCCCCAATTTCTCCTTCTACTTTTTGTTTTCTAATCCCTAATTCGTAAATTGTGATTCCGTAAAAGAATGACTTCGTGTCATCGACATCCTCTCGCATCTTCTAAGTGTTCATGATTTTTCTTTTCTCCTTGCTCCTTCTCCGATTGCAATCAACTTACAATCTCTAAATCCTAAATTTCAAACCCTCATACCCAATCTCCAATTTCCTAATTATAAACCCTAATCCTCATTCTTCCTTAACCTTTTCTCTTTATTTCTCCTTTTGTTGCATTTTCTAATCCCTAATTCCTAAATCACGATTCCGAAAAAAATGACTTTGTCATCGACATCCTCTTTCTCTTCCAAGCGTTCATTGATTTATCCTCTTAGTAATGAAGAATTACAATGGAATAAGAAAGAAACTGTAATTTTGTGTTACCGTGGCATGAAAACAAGTAAGGTAGTGTCTTAGAGTGATGACCAGCTAGTTATAAATTATTATGTTTGTGCACTTCGATTCAAAGCTAAAGGTAAAAAAGATGTTGGATGCGACTTTAAAGTGTGGTTCCAAGATAAGTTAGATGGCATAGCTAAAAATATTATTTTGGGTTTGTGGAATTGCCAACAAGAAATACATGCTAAGAACTCAAGATTAGTTTCAAATAATGTTAGATTGAATGAAGAAATTATCGTGTTAAGAAGTGAGAATGAAGAATTGTTGATTGAATTGAAGACTATGAGAATTGAGAACAATGCATACAATGAGTAAAAACAAAAAGAGAAAGAGGTTGTACTATTGGAGATTTAATGTCGAGTTATGCTGATTTAATGTTATTTAAATCTAAAATTAGTAGAGTTCTCAAGCTATTTTGGACAATGATTGTCATTGTGATTGTAAATTTTGGGTTTAATTATATGGAATGAACAACAATCCCTTGCCTTGTGATTGTATTCTAGAACTATAATTTACAGATGCATATTATATGAAAATCCTACATTTTGATATCTTCATCGAGGTTATGGGATGCAAATCCTACATTTTGGTATCAAGCCTCACAACATCATTTAGACAAAAATTTCACACAAAAAGTGTCTAACTTTGCACTTGCTAAGTTATACCCAACGAATGGCAAGCATCACATCTCTTAGGATACGTGGCTCCCGAATTATTTTAAATCTAAATGAGACGTATGTATAGATTAAAGGAGATTCATCATCCATGTCCGATGATTCTACCGAATCTATAAGTTTAGTTGAAATGGATACCAAGTGATATGATATAAGGAATTCTCTACTCATATGCAAGAGAAAATGAAAGAACAAGAATGCTTTCTATTTTAGTTATTTGTTAAAAAAAATTATGATAAATGGTAAAAATTTATTTTAAGGTATTATAAGAAATTATATAAAAAAAATTACAAATTGTACTCTAGAAAATCACAAGCTGAAAAATTACATGTTCTTAACTATCAAATATCATTTATCAACTCATGACATATTACATGTTCTTTAGAAATATCTAAAAAGTTAATAACAACGAGATAATATTACATATTCTTTTTCTCAATACTTGTTCTTGTGACCCTCCCGCCTTGGGAGTTTGATATAATCACCATCCTCTTTTTTTTTTTTCAAAACTTACAACAACCTTCTCCTTGCTATTTTGCCCTGTTCCATCAACATCGTTCTTTTTCTTCTTTTGACTTTGTGTATCCTCCTCCTCCTTCTTTTTACCCTTGTTATTCATAGCTCCAATCTTCTACTTTCCCTTCATCTAAAACCAAACAAACAATTAGTTCTATCATAACAGAATAAATTCGATAACCAATTCAATTTCTAATTAAAAATAATAAAAAATTATAATTTATACTTGATTAATAGTGATAGGTTCCACCACAATAGAACCAATTTCATTAGAGCAAGCGACTCCAACCTTCCGCTTTTCTTTCCTCTAATACCAATAAACAAACAAATATAAATAATGTTTGGAATTAAATTTGAGCAAAAAAACCATATAAACTAAAAAAAAATCATTTATACTCGACCAAAGGTAACAAGTTTCACCATAACGAAGTAATTTCGAAACGGATCACCAACCTTCTCCTTCTCCTTCTCTTTGCCCTTGTTACTTACGTGACATATCCTTATTCCTTTTCCTTTTGTTAGATGAAGCAGACTCCAACCTTCGTTTTCCCTTCCTTTAATACCAAATAAAACTAATATAAAACAATGCATCATAATTAAATTAAAACAAAATGACTATAAAAATAAGTAAAAATAATCATTTTTATTTGACCACTTATGGTAAGTTCCGTCATAACAGAACCAAAGTCTAAAATAGGTTGAATTA